TTCTGCTTTCCCGGGAGGAAGGCTTCCCCGGTCTTCCATGTATGTCACCTCCTCACATTAGTGTTGGTGACTAGTCAAGTGATGGGGTGTGAATGAGGGCCTTTTAAACTGTAAAGTACGAAGTAATCAGGAAAAAAAGAAATCATTATTCAGATGAGGCATTTAATGTTAGAGTCCCCCAGGATTTTAGGGGGTGAAGACTTGGTTTTTTATCATATGCAGTCTGGATATGTAGCATCCATAATGCCCATTGAAAATGGGGGCCACTTCCAGCCCAGAGATAACTAGTGCAAATCCAGCTTTTCACCCCCGTGTGGAAGGAGCAAAATGCCCCTCAGCTCTTCTGGGCCAGAAAGGAGACAGAATTTAGGGTTTGAGGACCAGTGGGGCTGAAACCAGCAGAATCTTCTGCATCGGCTGCACTTGAGGCCAAGGTCTTTGCCGGGTTATTTGTGCTGCCTTTGCTCCCTGACCTGTTTCTTCCCGAACTATGAGCAAGTCATTGCTCAGAGGGGGAGAGATAAATTGCACAATGTGCTTTTAGTAGAGCAATTAGGCAAAAGTAAGGTGCTAACCAGGTGTGACGGGCATCCCAGGAGCTCTCTTTGCTCTTTTGATTTATTCAGAGGGAAAGAAACAAAAATAAATAAACAAGGGTAGATTCATTCCAGAGCAAGTCATCAAATTGACAGGAATGTGGCAAGTGAAGCTCTGATGAAAGGATTTGCTGGATGGCCCATCAGAGGCTGATGACGGGAACATGCAAGTGATCAGTGGTGCTGATAGTTCATCGTTAATTGGGGCAGTTGCAGGTGGGGTGGATTTTTGCTGGATAAGGCAATGGGGTTACACGCGTGAGGGCTGGTTCACGGCCGCGTGTTCCCCCAAACGCCAGCATAAAAGCAGGCGCTGACCGGGCTCCATTCACTGCTTCTCTTGCCTGCATTGCTGCAAAGAGGTAAGTCTGCCTCTCTCCCTGGATTGCTCTTACACCATTGCTGTAGCAGGACGGGATTGCACCCGAGACTGGGCTTGATTCTTAGGAACGCTTGAAGCTTTTCTGCAGAAAGGATCGTTTCTTTTTTGGTGGCAGGGGTGGACACAAGCTATTGAATGTCAGGAAAAGGTTTTTCAGAGTGGTGCAAAGTTCAGGCTATGCAAACTCATTTATGTGCAGATTGTCAAGTGCTGTTTATAGTGAGGTCTTAGGATGCCAGATGCAGCTTTGAATCAATTCACCTGAAAATATTGGAGCATTAGCCCATGTAAAGGTAATTCCTGTATTTATAAGCCTTTCTTTGTGTGATTACTTATTAACTGACTCTAAAACTGAACCAGGAAGCCCCTTTTAGTAATATTGTTCTGCTTTGCTCTTTGCAGTTATTTCTGAGCAAATACAAAGCCTGTCATGCATTGCTTTCTATGCTTGCTTGTCACAGCTGGCAGTTTGTCCTTACTCTTTACTCCCAGCCTTCCCTTTTAAGGGTTTTAGAAAGGCAGGGCAGAGATAAAGGAGCTGCAAGGGAATTAGAGGAGCAACTAAGTGATTTTTATGACTAAAGCCCTTGCAGGAGCTCAACAGAATCATGCCCAGGCCCGTTCCCACCACAAATGGGGTCGCTCTGTGGAGCAAGTGTCGGGGCTGCTGCTTATTCCACCCTGCTGCCCGGTGCCAGCTGCAGCAGGGAAGGGATTTGGGGAACTTGGGGTCAATAATGATTTTCCTCCTCTGTCACCTCACCACATGGCTCTGGGCGATGCATTCACTCTCAGCCTGTTACTGCTTTCATAAAGCTGGAACAACAATGAATTGCCTCATATAGCAGTTGTAGTGATTAGAAGTGGCACAGAACCAGCACAGGATACGTTACCATCTAAGTGCCAGTCAGCAGCTCTATTTGTTTCTGTAGATATCATATGTGGAGAGGGGAGGAAAAAAAAGGTTTACAAGAGGTCATAATCAAGAAAGACGGTGGGGATAAAAAGGTGGTTAACAAAAAGGCAATAGCTCAAGTTTAAAGGCACAAGGCCTTTAGCAATTAATGATGATTTTAAGTATCAAATTGGCTCCACAATTAGGGGTCAGAGGAAATGGATCTGCAGGAAAGGGAGGGCATGTGAAGAAGACTAGAAAAGGAACGGAGCTGCAAAGACATAACTGAAGCCATCAGCATCCGCTCAGCCTTCTCCTGAGCTTTCATTTCTCTCCGTTGCTCAAGTTTCACTATCTTGGTGTCTGAGTTTTCAACCTCCCTGCACTGACCGTGTGTTTCAGGCTCATCCCCGCTCCCAGAAGATGTCTTTCTGCAGAGAGATGATCAGCTCCCGCTGCCTCCCGCCCTGCGAGGTGGCCTGTCCACAACCCATTGCAAACGCCTGGAACCAGCCCTGTGTGACATCCTGCGGGGACTCCAGGGCTGTCATCTACCCTCCGCCCGTGGTCATGACGTTCCCAGGGCCCATCCTCAGCTCTTGTCCTCAGGAGAGCGTGGTGGGCAGCACAGCACCAGCCGGCATTGGGAGCTCCTTTGGATCCGTGGGCTTTCTGGGCTCCCGGGGTCCCTATGGATCTGGGAGCTTGTACAATTATGGGAGGTCATATTCCTCCTATGGGTCCACTAGGTATGGTTTTGGGAGCTGCAGACCATGCTAAATGTGCAGCGATGGATGAGCAAGGATCAATCGCCTGGCAGAGGCAGATGCCCCTTCACAGACCCTGTTCCTGGCACAGCTTTCCAGGAGCAACAGCCCGGGAGCTCTGAAAAATCCTGCTTTTGTGGAACTCTCAAGCTAATGTTTGAATCTAGCAATTATTCTCTCCGGTGGCTCCTGATTATATCTATGAATTTGTTCTATCTTCTTTATTTGATTGACAGCAGGGCAAGACTGCATAAGTATTCCCCTGCTTTGAAAAAATAGTGTCTGTGCAATGTGCAGCCCTGAAGCAACTCTTTGGTTAGTCTTTAACGAGACACTGGCAACTTATTCTCTGTATTTTTCATTCTCATTAATGCCTTTGGCTTTTTACTTCATCATTAAAGTGCTCTGCAACAAAATTCTGAGCTTTCTAGCCTGTTTTTGTCCACCACTACTTGTCCCTAAGCCATTCTGGGAGAGAATTGCTCTCTGGAGGAGCATCAGGGCACTTTTCAGTTGCACTTAACACCTCGAGTTGGTGGGTGCCCAGGGTCCTATAAGCAGGAGGAAGCAGGCTGACTTTTGCAAGAAAGTAACACTCAGTAAACAAGTGTTGTAACTGCTACAGCTAAATGTGAAAAATCCCCCAGGGCAGCTGTGGTTACAGCGTGTCTTGGCGGTGTAATAACATAGTTAAACACCATGAGTAACTTGGAAGATCTTCCCTGTGCTTCACTGATTGCCCAAGGCTGCAACTTAGCTCCACACCTTGCACTGACTTGAAAAAAGACATTGTTTAAAATAGCTGGTAACTGTCCAAGCAGAGCTCCCTTGGCCTGGCCCTGTGGTGTTCCGAACTGGTAGGTCAATCTGATTTTTTTTTTGCCTTTTTTTTTTTTTTTCCTCCCCATGGATACCTCTAAACTCTTGGCAGCCCAGCTTAAAATATGTAAAATAAAGTTTCCTAGATCTTCCTCTTCACCTCCTCTCAGCACCTCTTGTGGTTTCAGACCAGGATTCCCAGCTGAAAAGGGTTGTGCAATGCTCTGCTCTTCTGTCCTTCCCTATGCAATTCCTGGGAATACCTGCCCCGGATACCTCCCTTGGCTCCAACAGGCAAATTCTAGGGAAAGCCTCGTTCTTGCACCAGAGAAATTCATATAAACAGGAACTAACATGTGGCAATAACTTCAAAGTGTTTGAAGGTGTGACTTGTAAAACCAGCTGGAATGAGATGAGGATATAGTGACTTAGGCAGGCAACATTTCTTTTCTTTTCTTTTTTTTTTTTTTTTT